GTGGGGGTGGTTGTCGGGCGCATGGGGTGAGGATTCAGGAGGCCAGGAACAGGGAAAGGTGGTCTGCGGTGTGCAGCTGGGCCATGGTGGTCATGACTAAGGGTCCAAGTCAGAGTCTACCAGGGAGGGGGAGCACAGGCAGGGGGCGCTCTTTCAGACGGCAGGCTTGCCGCCCCTGCACAGCACCAGCTGTGTGGCGGCCGCGACCCCCTGATGCTCCCGCCGGCGCCGGCCCAGCTTGCCAAGCCCTGCGCCGATGACTCACGCAGCCCCAGCCGCCGGCCCTCACGTGCCACCACCCTCATGATCCGCTGCTTGAGCGCCTCGGGCGCCGCCGCCCCGAGCCCGCCCGCCAGGGCGGCCAGCACGCGGGCGCGCGCGGCGGCGGCTTGGATGAACGCCTGCCGGTAGCAGCTTGGGTTGGTGCGCAGGAACGGCTTGCACAGGATGACCTGTCGATTGGTGGGAAAAAGTGGGGGTTGGGGGTATCACGTTGGATGAGAGCAAGCGGCGTGGCGTCGCGCGGCCTGCTGGGTTCGGAGGGTGCCGGGCAGCTGGCATGTCCGGGCGCATGTGAGCACGGCTGGCAGGTTTGCCCGCATGCATGCAGCGCCAGCAGCATGCAGCGCCTCGCGCTCAGCTCGGCGCGCCTCGCGCGACAGCACGCAACAAAAGGGTTGCGACGTATGGCGGGGGCCAGCGGGGCGGCGCCGCGACTCCCACACGTGCGTGAGCCATCAGCCATCAGGGCCGGAGCCCTGAGTCGAAAGCGGCAACCATCAGGGCGACGCCGCACCTTTGCGACCGCCGCGCCGCCGCGTTCGTCTTCGACCAGCCGCAGCGCGTGCAGCGCCATGTAGGCGCCAATGGAGTGCGCCACCAGCACGGCCGGCGGGCGGCCGGGCAGCAGCACGTGCTGCCGTAGAAAGTCCGCTTTGTGGCTGATCTGGCAGTCTAAAGTCCAGGCCTAGAATTTGAGTTTGTGTGTGTGTGTGTGTGTGTGAGAGAGAAAGAGAGAGAGAGAG